TATGGTGTTAGGACTGCAGTGTCAGGGTGTTGGGGTTAATTTGGCGGGGATTCGAGTGTTAGAGTTAGGGTGTTAGGGTTCGCGAGTTGGGTTAGGGTCAGGTACTTAGGATTGGGGTTCGGGTCAAGGTGGTTGGGTGTTAGGGATAGCGCGTTAGGGTTATAGGGTGTTGAGGTCAGGGTGTAGAGGTTCGGGTGTTGGGCTTAGGGTTGTAAGGCTCGGATTGTTGTGCTCAGGTATGTGTGTTAGAAATCTTTTGCTCGGGTAAGGTTTTGAGCGTTAGGGTGAATGTGTTAGGGTCGAAATGGTCGGATTGGATTTCAGATGCTTGGGTGTGTGGGGATTGGGATCAGGGTGTTAGGCCTAGGATGTTGAGATTAGGGGGCTCGGGGTTTCGGTTTTGGTGTTATGGTTAGGGTGGTAGGATTCGGGCGTTTGGGTCATGGCGAGTGTGGTAGTGTTCGGGTGTCAGTGTTATGGTGTGAGGCTTAGGATGTAAGGGATCGTGCCGTAGTTTTTTTTAGGGTGTTGGAGTATTTGGGATTGTGGTAGAGTTAGGGTCTGGGTGTTCAGGTTGCGTACGTAGGGCGATGGGGTTAGGGGTAGGTTGTTAGGGCTGGGGTGTCAGGGAAACGGTCGTAGGGTGAGGGTGTCTGGGATCGGGTGTGAGGGTTTTGGTGTTCGGGCCAGGGGGCCAGGGTTATTAGGGTGTTAGGGTGTTCGATTGTTAGGGTTCGGGTGTCAGGGTTCGGGTTCGTGATTATGGCTCGGATGTCAGGGTTAGGGTGCTGGGGTTAGGGTGTTGGAGCTAGGATGGCAGTGTAGTAGGGGTAGGGTTCTGGAAGGGGGCGGCGTGACCAAAGGGTGGGAGGGGGGGGCTCCAAGTTCGAGTCCAAGGGGGGAGGGGGGGATGGTTCACCCCCCGCCCTTTGGAAAGGAGGGGCGGGGTCTGGGACGACGGTCCAGGGACGATTGGACCGGGGAAAGGGAAAATGGGGAACCTGGACGCCCCCCCACCTCTGGGGCCCCTATACATCCGGATAGAACTGGTGGGAGCTTCGGTGCGGGACGAAGAGCAGTTGAAGTCGTTACGGCGGCAGCGCATGAAACTTTAGTTCTTCGCACAGGTCGGATGTTGTGGGCACAGCTCGACAAACTGGTGGTATATTGTCTGGGAGGGGGTCGGGGGTTGATTTCGAGCGAGCGAGGCCCTTGGCACGTTCGCGCCGCGTCGACGCGGCGGCGACGCCGCCGCGGGCGCTCAAGGTTGAAGGCCGCTGACGGCCAGAACCAGGTCAGCCTTGATCGATCTTCGCTGTTGAACGGTCCACGCGGTGTCGGAACGCTGCGTCCATGTGTTTGCAGCAGGATCCAGCCGTACTTGAACGTCGTGTGTCCTCCAGTGCCGTCGACACATGGCTCCTCCTCCACCTCCTCCTCCTCCTCGATTTTTGGATCTCCGGAGCCTCGGAATCCTGGTCATAACTCGCTCCAGGAAAGGGCCAGAATGCCCATTTGGAAGGGGGTGGAGGGGTGACATCCTCGACGAAACATCGTCCACGCGCATCGTGATCCGCATAGGTGTCCGCATAGGAATCCGCATAGGAGTCTGGTCCGCATTCGTCGTCGTCGTCGTCGTTGTCGTCGTCGTCGTCGTGGTCGCCGTCGTCGTCGTGGTCGCCGTCGTCGTCGTCGTCGTCGTCGTCGTCGTCGTCGTCGTCGTCGTCGTCGCCTCGTCGTTGTCGCTCGTCGTTCGTCTCTCGTCGCTCATCGTCGTCGTGCGCGCGGACGCGGCCAGAGCTTGTTTTTTATTATGGGCCGATGACGGCAATCATCTGGGGGGGGTGGATGGGGCCGATGACGTCACGTTTCGCGTCGGTGGCGTCTGGGAATGCATAGGAATCGCCGAGGACGGGTACCAGCAGCATGTCGGTGGCGATCTGCGCCACAACGCCTGTGTACACCATAGTGCCTTCGTGCGCCACAGCGCCTGTGTACACCACACCGCCTATGTACACCCCAGCAGCCGCGTGCATCACAGCGCCAGTGTGTGCAACAGTGCCTGCTGGCACCACAGCGCTTGTGTACACCACAGCGCCTGCGTACACCACATCAGTCGTGTGCAACACAGCACCAGTTTACACCACAATGCCTGCGTGCACTTAGCACGGCACCAGTGCATAGACCAGTCTGCGGTGCACGCTGAGACGCGCACGTGCGCTGTAGTGCGGACCCGCACGACAGGGGGGAAGGGTGATGGACGAGGAGGAGGAGGACGAGGAGGAGGAGGAGGAGGCGGAGGTGGAGGAGGGAAGAGGGAAGAACGTCGCATTCTATTATCAGCACTTTCCTGGCGTGGCGCCTAGCTGTCCGCAGCAGATCCTCACCGACATGCTCCTTCTACCTGTCCTGTGCACGCAGGCACTCTGGTGTACACCAGCGCTGCGTTGCACGCGGATGCTGTGGTGTAGACAGGCGCTGTGGTGTGCACAGGCGCTGC